ACTGCTTTCTTCCTGCCAGGCACTGATCTGAGCATTGTATAGGAAGACAATTACTTAATCCCCCCAACATCCCTCTGGGGTAGGTGACATTCTCCCTATTTTACTAAACAGAAGCATAGAATGTCAGGTAGTTTAAGACTGTACTGCGAATATGCTCAGTTTATCTGCTCAATCCACAATAGCTGGGACAAGATGTCTTGGGTCCATGGAGAGTTGGAGAGGGAACTGGAGGAAAATGGAAGGGACATTCAATTGATGGAGGAGACAAGTCATTCCAAGTTGGGCCCTTAAATCCAACAAGACCAGTGGAACCCACTGGAGGTTCTTGAGTGTGAGAAGTTTAACATGGAAATGACTTTGGAAAAATAAGTGGCCTTGGTAACCTGGTGTCACAGAGTGAGGAGAAAGAGATTAGAGGTTTGAAATAAATTATGGCCCATTCTTCCTCTGAGAACATGGATTAAGAACAGCCTAAAATTCCTTGCAGCCCACTAAGGCAGCATTTCTCACATGAAGTGCCAAGGGGCCCCAGGGATCCTCAAGGAACTCTGAGTGGCACACTAGGATATTTCAAAATTTCAAGGAAAATAAGGCAACACTTAATAACTGTCTGCCACAAGCATATTATGAACATTTTCAATACCAGATTGTACTACATTCCTTTTTTTTTTTTTTTTTTGGCCCCAGGGAGAGGGTGGCTTTTATTTCCTCTCTTAGGGAAGTGGAGGGGAGCTTTCCCAGGCACGCCAACCTAAGGGAAGGGTGGGTGTGTCCCAGAGGATGGGGCTGGAAGCCCCAGATGATCTTTCATAAGGGCTCTTCTGTGACCCTTTTCTGGCACTTTTAGGGTAGCAGCTCGTGTATCATTGGAGGCACGAGGAGGTATGTGCTGGTGTTCACAAAGAGGAAAGGGGAGCAGGTGCCCTGAGTGAGGGAACAGGGTGGCAGACCCCAAACCCGATGACTTCCCAGTACAGTAACTTTCATAAGGCCTGGCTGGTGTGACTCTTCTCCCGAGAAGGGCCTTAGGGGCCTAGAGCATTGTTCCATCTCATGGCTGGTTCCTTAAATGTCCATCTCAAATTGTGACTCTTCACCGCCTGCCCGCTTATCTTCTGGACTGTTGCACAGGTGGCTCTGGCTGGCTTCCATGGAGGGCTCATTACTGGCAGGGCTGGTGACTCCAGGAATGGTGGGCAGGTCCCTTGGGGATGTTTTGGCCACAGGTGAGTTTCTATATTCCATCAAGAATTTCCGGTCATAGATGATCCTGGTACCTCCCAGGGTGGTGCTGAGGAGCATGCCGCTGCGGGTGGTGCTGTAGTCCCCGGGTGGTAGCTGTGCGCCATCATCACCAAGGACGACCCTGCGAGTGGCAGGGATGGCCCGGCTTGGAGTCTGGCTGCAGCTGCTGCCCCCTGACATGGTCTCCAGTTTGCTGCACAGCAAACCTCTACATTCCTCTTAATGACACCATGTCTTTAAAAAGTTGAGTTTTCTGAGATTTCTGTAATAAAAAGAAATTCCAAGGGCTGGGGATATGGCTCAGTGGTAGAGCATTCGCTTGGCACGCATGAGTCCCTACGTTCAATTTCTAGCCTGATTCCGTATGAAAGAGGAAATAAGGTGGTAGTGCCTGTTTTCCAAGGCTTGAAATGCTGTGCAGCAGTGAAAGGCACACAGGTATAGTCCATTAGTGAATAATTTTGTTGTTTCAAGGATGAATAAAAGATACTTTTTCTAGTATTCTTGTGTATATCTCTCTATGTGTCTGTACATCTATGAAGAAGTTACTGGGGCACAAATTCTACTGCCTCAGTCTGTTTGGCTGCTATAGCAAAACGTAGTACACTAAGTGGTTTAATTTTTTTTTTCCTCATAGTCTTGAAGTCTGGGAATTCAAAAACCCAGGTACTAGCCAACTCCATGTTGGGGAGGCTCCACTTTCTCCTTCATCGAGTGCTTTTTTGCTGTGGCCTCAAAAGGTGGAAGGGGCAGCAAGCTCCCTAGGAACTGTATTTTTTTTAAGCTTTTGAAGCATGTTTTTTTCTTCTTCTTTTTTATTTGTTCTTATTAGTTTTACATGACACATCCTACATAAATGGAGTATAACTTCTCATTCTTCTGCTTGTACATGATGTAGAATCACACTGGTCATGTAATCATATATGTTCACAGGGTAATAATGTTTGATTCATTCTACTTTCCTTCCTAACCCATGCCCCCTCCATTCCTTCACTGCTCTCTGTATAATCCAAAGTACCTCTATTCTTCCCTAGCTGCCCCCGTAACAATTGGACATGGGTAATGGCTGTGAATTAGCATCCACATATCAGAGAAAACATTGGGCCTTTGATTTTTTGGGATTGATTGACTTATTTCACTTAGCAAGGTACTCTTCAGTTCCATCTATTTACCTAAAAATGCCATAATTTCATTCTTCTTTATGTCTGAGTAATAGCCCATTGTGTATATATACCACATTTTCTTTATCCATTCATCTGTTGAAGGATACTCAGGCTGGTTCCATATGTTGGCTATTGTGAATAGCCACTGTAAACATTGTTGTGGCCACGTCACTGTAGTATGCTGATTTAAAGTCCTTTGGATATAAACCATGGAGTGGTATATCTGGGTCAAATCGTGGTTCCAATCCAAGTTTTCTGAGGAATCTTCACAATGCTTTCTATAATGGTTGCACCAATTTGCAGTCCCTTGAACAATATATGAATGTACCTTTTCCCCCCACATCCTCACCAACGTTTATTGTTACTTGTATTCCTGATAATTTCCTAGGGCCTGTTTTGTTGAGGCACTTGTGTTCATGATGTCTCCCTATCACCTCCTACCTCCTAATACAATCATATGGAGGGTTAGGCCTTCAGTTTATTTGGGGACATAAACTTTCAGACCATACCAGTAAGTCATCATGAATGGGAAAAATACACCTCAAGCCTATCCATTTATTTCTGGCTCCTCAGCTCCTTCCTTCCCTGCATCTTGATGACTGAGACAGCCTCCAACAAATCTCCCTGCCTCCATTCTTCTTTTCTTTCTGTTCCTAGCAAAACAGCTTCAAAATCTTCTAAAAATATAAACTGATTCAAATTATTTCCTTATTTTGAATTTTCACTAGTTTTTCAATTTATGTTTTTTAAAAAAGAATCTAAACAACTTGCCAAGATTTAAATAAATCCTACAGTTTGTTCTTCCCCACTTCTCTGAACTCACCTCCGCATCACACCTTTAAAGTCCAGGCTCCAGCATTCTGGCTTCTTTCCCATTCTCAAAGACTTTGAGCTTAATAACCTTCATACCTTTCCCAGGAACGCTGCTCCAACCATCACTGTGTGTTTGACTACTCATCCTACAAGTAACAACTTCATTGTACATTCTTAACATTGACCACATTGTCTTTAGTACCTTTAGTATAGATTTCCCCAAGGCCTGAGTAGTCAGTTTTTGTTTAGTTTTGTTTTGGGCAGTGCTAGGGATCAAACCGTGGACCTCATGCAAGCTGGGTAATTGCTCTGCCACTGAGCTCCACCCCTAGTTTCAAGATTTTTATTTATAGTTGCCCATTTGCTTCTTTATTGCCTGACTACCCACTAAATAGGAAAGTGCTATTAGGGTTGATAGAGGATCTTTTTACTCATCATTGTATGCCCAGTATCTAGCAGTTTCTCTGGCATTCAGTAGATGCTCAATAATAGTCATGGAATAAATGAATGAAGGGATGAGTGAATGGAGGATGCACTCCGTGTCCTTAATCTCTCAGGCATGTGATTTGGGATGTGGAAGTGATCCACAGGCTCCCTAATACTGTGCTGGCCAATCCAGCTAGCCTGGTCTCTGTGTCCTTGACCTCAGCATCACCTGCAGAATAGAATTTTAAAGGAACTAAAGTAGTTTTAAAATGAGCAACTATTACTTTTGTGTTAACATTCTATTTAGCTTTTCTATTTATAAAAATTGCAGAAATGAAGTTTATATGAATGACAAAGGACCAAGAATTCTTGGGATACTTACATGGAGGATGCTTCAAAGTAGTATTTCAGTTTTCTGAAAATGAATTTTCTAATCTATTAAAAATATCATCATCCAAAATCTTAAAAAGGAACTTTATTTGGTGCTTGAAAATGATGAGAAATTTGTGCAAAGTTGCAGTGTAACTGTTAGAAAGGGATTTCGAAAGAACAGGCCTTTGTGTTGCGTGGGTTATGTTTTCTGGGTGTTTTATTTATATTAAGTTTTCTTAACCTTAGGAAAATGTATATGTATGTGTTCATTAATTTAATGGGTTTTTTTTAAAAGAATTTAAGTACCTTGCCATGATTTAAGTAAATCCTACAGTTTGTCCTTTCTCACTTCTCTGAACTCATCTCCACATCACATATGGAAACCACATGTGAACATTTATTTCTTAAATACTAAAGATAACAGTATAGGAATACCAACAGAAAACAAAACCACCCAAGATCTGCTCCCCTCCCTCCAGGAATTTATGATCTAATTGAAGAGATTAGATATATGTGACAATGTTATGATGTCATTTGGAATAAGACTTAAAATTACAGAACCCATAATTAGCTATAAAAATGCAGTATGGAAAGGAGAGCTTTCTTTATTCTTTTAACTAGTAATGCCATTGGAAATATGAGGTGCTTGAAGAGTAGATTTCTTTAGAAGCAGATTTTTTAAAAGTATTCTATAAAGAAGGACTGGACCAAAAGCAGTATTGCCACCTGATTGAAGAGAAGCAGAGTTTAGAGATCTTTATTGATGGCCTACCTTGAAGAATAATATCTGTAACTGACATCCCCCTCAAACATCAAAGGGACATTTGTATACATGGAGCCCTGAAGCCAGACCCTCTCATCTTTTCTATCACTGGTCAGAAGAACCCTGGGTCCTTCCCTGGTACTCTTTCTTCCACTCAAAGAAAAATGGATGATGTGAGCAGAAAGATGCATCATTGACAGCTTCTTCAATATAAGAGATTCAGCAGGAAGACACTGTCTCTCTTCCCTCTGACTCTTGCTTCTAGTCTGCTGTCCTGGTCCATGTTCAATTCCGATGACTAAATCCCCAAGAAGAGAATGTCCCTGAGTGGCTAAGTTGAGTTTCAGTAACATCATTTCTACCAAGTGTTTACCTTACTAGCATTTACCCAGAAGAAGCTTGGATCAGTAATCTCTCAGCGGGTGCTTCCACTTACCCTCTTAGAAGATCATTCCAATTAGGGAACATTGTTTCAGGAGAAAGAATCAATTCAGGTGGAGCTAGTAACAGAACCTAAGGCTGCTGACTGCAACTTTTGCTTTAGCCATGATATAATTTTTTTATCTTCTATTTTATTTCAAATATCTTTGATAGAGCAGGAAGCTGGAGGTTTAGTATTTTATAAAGATCATTCGAAATCCAAAATAAACTCTCACAAAATAAAGAATGGTAAATAGCTTTGTGTTTATGCCCTAAGGAATTTAGTTGGAGGATCCAATTTGATCTTAAAAATGCAATTAAAATGTAAGTGCTTTGTACCCAGTTTAAGTCAATAGGCAGTTGATGTTGCAATGTGTAAGGTAAGATAAAAATAGCTGTGGAGGATTTGAAGTTTAGTGTATTGTCTCTGCCATCCCAGGGAAGAAGAGATATAATCACAGGAAATACAAAATATATAAGGCAATATGTTAAGGGATTCAGCAATTCAAATTTAAAGATAGAAAGCCTCATTTTAATTGCAAATTATGCAATTGCATTTCATGTTTTACAATAAATGAGATGAGTCTTTTTTGCAAATTGTTCTTCTTTGGAGAGGCTACTTGGACTGAGTCAGTCCACACTGCAAGCCAGAGCCCAGCCCATCTGGTGAGGGCACTGTTGTTTGCAGCTACACAGCCCCATATGTAATTTCTGGGTTGAGTGGACTGAAAAAAAAGTCTGTCTCAAATTTAAAAAGCCAGAATACACAGTTATTATGGATGATTAAATTTTGAGATGAAGGAAATATGTTCTTTTTCAGACTATGAACACAAGTTATGTTTCCCCAGTAAATAAATGAGAGACTTAATTTGTAAATAATTACACACTAGTGTTTAAAATTAACACTTGAGTATTTTAAGTATTTTGGGGAGGAGGTGTGGCTCAGATGCACTGTTCAAAGACAGGAATTTTACAGTAGATGTTGTAAAGTGGAGAAGAGGTGTGACTAAAGAAGAACTTTTATTACCTAACATACAATCACTATTGACTTTGGGTATTTTCTCGAGAGTTAAACCATGCAGATTAGGTCTATGCTCAGATTATTATAATGGATGAGATTTTTTTTCTGGGGTGAACTATGCAGCTATTGTTTTAAGTATGGGGGGGAGATAATTTATACAATAAAGGATAAACTTCAGGATAATTTGGCTCAATACTGGGAT